AGCCAATCACCTCGGCAATGCTTTGCACCATGTCAACCTTGTTCCGGCCAGCGAAGAGAGGATAACCCAGTGCCATCTCGGCAATGATACATGCTACGCTCCACATATCACTGGCTGCAACTACACAACAAGCAAAATAATGTTACAAAGAGCACAAAAAATATCCTTCCCGTTTTAATTGAACAGTGTTGGGTAACAACACTCTTGCTCTCCTATGGTACAACAAAAAGAATAGATTTTATGTCTTCATATGGGTGGGGAATGTCACAGTCCAGCGAGAATAGGAATACCGTAAAAGTTCGTTAATGCCGGAATACCTGCCCGAAATAAATGCCCCCTTCATCCTTTTGACTCTGTCTGTTGAAGTCAAGTTCAGCCCAATAAACATACTGCCAGAAATAAGTACCGGTACGGTTCGCACGTGCAGCGCTTACCTTGTACATATACATGAAAAAACTGACTTCTTCACTACACACAAGTCTACACACAAGTGGTCAGGTCTGAAAGTAAGTTTGTGCCCGAAAGTAGTAGTACGGGTGTGAGCACAAAATTCGAAAGTAAGTAAGTACTTATAGTACTCATTTATGGACTTTTGTACTTATTTATGGACTTTTACGGTAATGGTTTAGGATCGTTTTCAAAAGGGATCATCTTCATAGGAGACCACCAATCTCCATTGGCAAGCCCACATCCATGCCTGTATGATCACACCATTCTTGCCTCCTTTAGCACAGATCCTTAGTTTGTGTGCTTTTGCCTCAAGCATGGAGTAGTATAGCTCCTACTCCCTGTGATAATCTGCTATTATGTCATACCTGCAGGAATGTCCATGAGGACCTCTGGTGCACAGTAGGAGCTGGGTTTCCTATTGCGTCTTGGTGCCTCAACAGACGAATCGCAAACCTGAGTCCAGTTGTTTAGCTGAACAGGAAAGAAGGTCACATGTGAGGAATTGTTGAAAAACATTGGTCACATCACACTCATAAGGAACGATAGTGAATTCCTAAAGCCCCCCCCTCTCCCAAGCCTCATGCACTACACCAATGTCACGATCTGCTTCTTGAATTTAAAGCACTTGTCAACAGCCACTTGATCACTGCATACATCCGCTCCTGACCATCTCTAGTAGCAGATAACCATAGCAACTATCAATAGTTACCTTGATATCAAATCCTCCAGTTGGTATCATGAGGACATGGTCTGGCCTGATATCGCCGTGAATCAGACTTCTATCTGCCAGATCCAATAGGATCCGGACAAGGTTCCTAGCAAACCGCTTCACCCACTCCAATTGGATGCGGCGATATCCTGCACGGTTCAGGACCTGGAGCAGTGAGCAATCAATCATACAACAACAACAGCATCCAGGTGTGGGTAACGAATCTCTAACATGCATGGTCGAATTATTCCTGCCCAGTTAGTCAGGACCCTTGAGCTGTCTACAAGCATACTGGTATAGTGGTATAATTATGTAGAGGACAAGGGTCAACAGATGGAGTAAATCTCTTATTGGCGACCAATTCTTCTATTATTGTACTTCCAGTAAGAAGGAAAAGGACAAAACGGATAAGAGTTCCGAAATTTTAACCCGGAGGGTTGAAGGCCATTGGTTTGCGCTTAGGAGATGTGTTGAAGTTAGGTGTCAGGTCGTTGAATGCCTCAGCACTCTTGTCAGTTTTGTGCGTAGTTGTAGCACTTTCTGACTGTATCTAGTCACAGTGGCGGACAGTTACTCAGAATTCGTATCCATGTGTCCATTTCCTTTTTACATTATTCATTGGTTCAACATCCATGTTTCAAATCTTCTATCATTTCGCAACAATAGTGAATATTTCCCCTTACTGCTTCAGGGGTGCAAACATGAAATTGTCAAGTAGCCACCATTTGTTGCAGCTTTTAAGCCATCTGGGATAGTGATTGCATTTTCAATTTCAAGAACAATTGCTGAAGGATTCTGTGTAACAAGCAGCCATGTAAAGTGTCAGACTGGAGTCACATGATCCGACGATTGGACATTGCATACCGTGCTAAGATCAGGACCCAGCAAATCCATGACAATGCAGAAGCATTTCTTGAAGAAGAAGCCGTCACGAACAAAGCAAAAGTTGGCTGTCTTGGCTTTGTCCTTTGCTGCCACAATGCAAGCACCGTGGTAGTCACTCTGCACAACTGTGTCGCTCCTCTCGGTTGCGTCACCTATCTTGAGAGCAACTTTCATCCCTGACTTGTGATCATAGCATAGCAGCACCTGTGTTAACCAGTGAACAGGACAGTAAGCCATTCCGACAACAATGACAGAACTTTCACTGCGAACATGATTGTTATACACATTACCTGTTTAAAGTGCACATCGGTTTTATGGGGAGGGGATCTGGGGGAGGGGGGGGGGGGGTTGTACTGGCAATTGTTTCCATTTCCATCAAGGTCTAGGGCCAAGTACACCATAATTCTTAAAGTATGTGTAGACTGGTTTTCCAGGGGCCCAAACTTCAGAAATCTCCATCACGCACTCTACTGCACTTGCTCGCCACACGGTATAAGAAACTGATCGTGTTGATCTCCCCAGCAGACGGGGGAGAGATCCAGAGGGAAGCTTCCAAGATGACTGAAGTCAAGTATCCCCCCCCCCCCCCCTATCCCGACTCCGGCAGGACTTTGTAACGGTCCCACTTACTGGCTCGCCACACCACAGTAAGTTGGCGAAAACATGGTGCAGAAAATTGACCTCATCAGGGCATCCCTCGCGGGAACCAGATGCATTCGCACGTGAAGGTAACGCCATACATGAAACAGTGCTAGAGCAGATAGATACATATTAAATACTTCAAAGTAGGAGTAGATTTGATTGCCTTCATCAGGGATTTATGCCATAAACGTAATGCAGCCAGATGTGGCCAACCAGACACACACACACACACACACACACACACACACACACACACACACACACACACACGCACACACACACACACACACACACACACACGTACGCACACGCACACAGGCGCACACACACACACACACACACACGCGCGCACACGCACACACACGCGCGTGCGCGCGCACACACACACAGAGTCAAGGCACAAGAAATCCACAAATACAGCCATGGTCTGAGAAGTCTGTCTGCTTATATAATGCTGGCTAAAGAAATCCAACCTCATGAATAAAATAGCACCGTGTGCTACGCAGCCCTATAATGTAGCCCTGCACACACTGGTTTATTCACTCAAACACGACGCTACTTTATTCATGAGGTTGGATTTCTCTGGCCAACCCTGTACTTCAAGTACGATGTGGTGCATTTCAATAACACAGACACAATGAATACACCATTTTCAGCGACGGCTTCTAGTTTTCGGGGATTTCTCGACGCCAGTGGACTTATTTTTCTTTCAAAACTCTGCTCATGTAGTTTCTTTTCTCTAGAAATAAAGTAATCGACACACAATTCTTGTTCAGGTTGATCCACACGTCTATGTGTTTTCAAATGCACTACAGTGTGCAAGTACATGAGAAGTACACGAAACCTGAACGGCATCCGGACAGGACTCGACAGCAATGCAGTTACTGCGGTGCGTTGCTTGTGTATGGTGCTAAAGGTACAGCTCAGGCTAGGCTGTGCAGCTGTCAAGCAGGGGTGTCGACATGGTATTGACCGTGCCCCTCTTCGTCCTGGATACCCTGTCAATCGATAAATGCACTGATCAAGGCTCTGAATGTTCGATCATTTTCAGAGGAGACACCCCAACCCCACTGCACTACTGGTAAGTTGTACACCAGGTAGGCTGACCACACCACCCTAAAATACCCTAAAATACCTTCCAACGCCCCTGATTGATCAATATATTTTTCATTGGGGGGGGGGGGGGGGCATAACTAGACTATTTTTGTTCTGTGAAACTTATCAATATTGCCGGATAGCCCCATACCTGTGCAAATTGTGTTCTCTTCAGATAGGACAGCACTTCATATCTGAACATGATGTGCTGGCCAATGGCAACAGTCATAACTGACGGCCGTACACAGTAGAAAGTATCAGGTGAATTGTCAAGAAGAGTAAAATCATCATTCGCTGAATCCACACCAACATAGTGGACGTCATTCTCGCACCGCAGCAAACGAATTCGTTCCGAACTGCTCATACGATGGTGAAATTGCTCAGCCACACCCTCTGCTGCTGTGTCCCAAGTGCACATGTCCATTCCAGTATGAACATATTTCCAATCTATTACTCTCATGCTATCAGGAAACTCAAGCCATGGCCATTTTGATGCGTTCAGCTCCACCATCTCCTCATACTCTCTCTCCCGCTCCTTTCGTGCTGCTTTTCTCTTCTGCCTGATAAAGCTGTTTGCTCCTCTCTTTGCTGCCTTCATTGATTGCTTACGAAGCTTTGCCATTGGTGCTGGAGTGGCTACTGGTGCTTGTGCCGGTGTTGGTGGTTTTGTTTGATTTACGTGGCTCAGCTGGGATACCAGCCACATGTTAATCGAATCGGCTGTTACATCTATTCTCTTCTTTCCATACTCGCTGCTGATGCCAGCTCTGTTGAAACGTACTTCACGAGCACCTCTACTAGTACTACTACTAGCCGATTTGTCCCTCCGGTCTCTCGCCTGTTTGGCGTTGATACCAGGAAGATGAACGCTATCATGACCAGCCGACTTTCTGTCTTTGGAGCTTGCTTGCACTTGAGTGCCAGCTTGTTTCATATCGTGCCCATTCACACTGCCAGGCGCTGCTGGCCCACCACGGAGCGAAGGCAGGAGGCTCGTCCGAGTCGTACGATATTCATCACCTCCGATAAAATGAATATCATACTTGGGAGCGGCATCTAGTGTTCGCTCTTCCTTATCGACGTGTTCGCCAGATGGAGATTCTGTAATAGCGGGTAACTTCTTGACTTTCGATATCAGCGTCTTCCTACGATTGCCTTTCATCTTGCTGGGCTGGGCAAGGTGTTTTCCGCGGCGCTTTGGTGCCGCAGAGGAGGACATTTTTGCAACGCAGAACCCAGAATGAACTAATTGTTCAGAGGAACACAGAACAACCAAGCGCCAAGTAAAGTAATTAGTTAGTTACCGACACTGCGCGCGGCAGTCACAACGACACGAGCGCTTGACTACAAAAATGTACAACTCAGTCGCCGACAGTCGACACGTGACGTAACTCGTTCCCGACGTCGACCCGCGGCATACGGACTGCTGCGTATGTTTAGCCTTGAGGTTTGAGGAACGACGTAACCATGGTAACTGGTCATTACCGGTATACCGGGTATATACCAGTGGTGTGTATAACCTCGCTAATCATGCTAATGGCAGTGTCCTCAATGCTAATGGACGCGTCATGTTTTTGTTTATAATTTAAGGTGCAATTTAGCGCAGATGTGGGTATTTCTTTGCTTTTCTTCATTTGGTCCTTTAAAATGAAGCGGCTTTTTATTTAAATAATCTACGTGGAGATAAAAGTTTAATAATAGCAATGAAAAGTATGAATGCCGCAGACATCACCACGCAACATGACAATTTGTTCAAGGTTTGGTTTTGTGTGTTTCCAAAATCGATTTTCACGTTGCGATCATCAGTGGAAATACGCAACTAAAGAGATCAAGGGAAAACAAAGGTTAAAAATCCAAAGAAGTGTGACACATGACGGGTAACTTGTGGTAAGTATTACAAAAAGTGAGAACTAAAATAAAGAGTAAGTGTGACAAACGGGCATGAACAGTGCAGAAACAACTCATGAACACGGGGTGCAAACTCACGAAAATAACCTAAGTGCTAAAACATGTTCTTTTTGCTTACACAAATCGGGCTTATGCGTACGAATACAAACAGCTTCAAGGACCTTCAACTGCTGGACATAACGGGCACGACACAGTACAGAGAAGTGGGAATCATCATACACACTCAAACAATCGGGACGAGATAACAAATGCAAATACACAGCTGACTTCTTACGAATTTCACCCTCATCAGCTCCATCACCTTCCCTGCCACCTGACTCCTCCTTGTCCGTTTTATCACCATCACCACCAGCCGTCTCTCCGTCATCCGCCTCGTCTTCATCCGCCGCCTCGTCATCACCCGCCTCGTCGTCATCTGTATCCTCGCCGTCATCCGCCTCGTCGTCATCTGTATTCTCGTCATCCGCCGCATCATCACCCAACTCATATTCACCACCAGTCAGTCGTCTGATACCATCCATGTTCTCCTTCCTACGTCTGTCCCGTGTCACTGTCCTTACCTCATCTACGTCCCGAGATTGTGTTCCGTTTTGCCCCCGGCTTCCGGTCTCCTTCGATGCTCCGCGTGGGCCTTGGCCATTCCTAGCATATATTTCGGTTGAATAATTGGCGGTCGACCTCCGTGGTCTCTGGACCCACGGATCAATCGCCGGAGGGTGCTGCGGTGTCCGCACAACCGGATACTGTGTCAAAGAAATGGGCTCAATTTCTGTGATTGGCGGTACTGTTGTTGTTGCCGACTCCTCCCCAACCCCAGCCACCAACGGCACTGGTGGTGGCTCCGGTGGCGGCAAGGGCAACGGTGGAGAAGGCACATTCGGTTGGCTTAGTGATCCACCACTCTTCCTCTGCACCGTGTGTTCGACTTGCTCTGGTTGTGTCGGTGGTAGAGGGAGCGGGTTCTTGCGTGGTCTTCCCCGCTTCGGGCGCTTCGCTTTTGCTGCGTCCTGCAGCATGTGAAGTGGTACATGCTGCTTGATACGTGCGCTCAGGTGTTGAAGGGTCCTACCAACGTACCGGCTATCACAATTCCGGCACTCAAATTGGTAGACCAAGTGGCTCAATAGGTGGGATGGTAGGACATCCTTCCTCACCGTGAACGCACGTATCGTAGTGAACACAGGGATGAAGTGCGCCGCAAAGTATGTTTGTGTAACTAGCGTTTTGATTGTGCGGCACAATGTCTGTGATGCCTCTCCTTTCCAAGGTAAGGAAAGGTAGACTGGGCAACGACTTGGACCAATGATGACGACCTTTGGTTTTGATGCTGATTTTAGTAGCTTGTTTAGCAGTTCCTCCGGGTAACCATTTTTGAGAAACACAGATTTCAGAAAACCTAGCTCATCCTTGAGTCGAGAGGGGGAACAGATTCGCCGCGCTCTATCCACCAGATTCTTCACCAGGTTGACCTTATACAGGTACGAACAATACGAGTCAAACACGATATATTGTCCGGTAAATGTTGGTTTCCTGTATATTGACGTTACAATTTCATCGTTTGACTTCTCCACACGCACATCTAGAAAGGACAAGGTGTTGTTCTGTTCATGCTCAACCGTGAATTTCAGAGAGGGATGTAAGTTATTCAATCGGTCCAAGAAGGCGTCACACTGTTGTACTGAATCAAAATATGTGAACGAGTCGTCGACAAAACGAACGTAAAACTCCGGCCACAGTGACTGGTCCACAAGAGATTCGCAGTAGCCAACAAATATATTTGCCAACACTGGACCTAATGGTGATCCCATGGCTACCCCATCCACCTGCCTATACATCACGTTATCAAATGAAAACTCAACGCCCGTAGTAACAAGAGACATCAGTGTACGGAAGGAGGACTCAGGCAGCCATGGCGTGTCAACAGAGTTATTGTGATAGAGAACATCCGCACAAATATCTATGGTCTGTTCCAACGGTACATTCGTGAACAAACTGACCACATCAAATGAGCACATGTGCGCTGTAGCGGGAATCTGGCGAGTGCGAATGAGGTCTACAAACTGGAAGCTATCCTTGACAATGTTCTTACAGTAATAATCTTGCACAGCTCCAAGCATCAAACAGAGCCACTTCGATACTTTGTACTGTGGGGATGCTACCATTGATAATATTGGGCGTAATGGACAATTCGGCTTATGGATCTTTGGCAAGCCATAGAGTCGCGGGCGGGCGGAGCCTATTGGCTTGATTCTCATGAACTCTGAGACCGAAATTTCTTTCTCAGCTTTCAATTTCTTTAGGTATGTTATCAGGCGTTTCTCTACTTTTGTTGTATTATCATGAGTGGAAACTGGTCCGAGTTTCACGAACTTGGAGTCATCGTTCAGGATTACCGCCATTTTTGATATGTACTCTGTTCGGCTCATTATGACCGTTGCGCGTCCTTTGTCCGGTCTGGTAATTAAGATATCATGATTGTTACTGAGTTCACGTCGGACTTTGAGGTGTTCACGGGACAGGTAAAATTTGCTGCGGTCCGGCGGTTTTGCAGCATGTTCTTCCGCAACCGCTCTGATACTGGCAGTGCATACAGCCTGCTGGGCATCAGACACGGGCTTGAGCTGCTGAAGCTTCTTGTAGAATAATTCAAACTCCGTGAGTACTACCTCCTTCTTGTTATTGGCAGGAGGAATGCCGAAGTCAGTACCCCGACATAGCAGTTCCTTTTGAACGGTAGAGAGCTCAATGTTGGCTCGGTTAATGATGGTGTCTGTGTTGATCTGTATCGCGCCATAACGTTTTGTGCGTAACCACTTCAGATTCTTCTCGTATTTCGCAATCAGCCTCGTCTGTAATTTGTTGTCATTAGCAGCAATAAGTGAACTAAATCGAAGATAGTCATGGGCAGAAAGGAATGAGCGAGCTACACAGTACAAACGTTTGAACTCACACTGTATAGTACAAAGTGTATCGGAGGACCGGGCGATATCATCCTTCAAGAATACTCTCTCTATTGTTAATGAGTGATACGCCTTGGCTCTGTGTACGCGCTTCTGTATGGCACTTGGACAAACGCCACTTTCCCGACACTGTTTAAGAAAAGAAATATTCAATGAAATGCAACGACAAACATGGCGTTTCCGCAGGGCGTTATTCAGAGTATCTATCTGTTCTCTAGAGTATCTCCGCTTAAAATATACAAATAATCTACGTGGAGATAAAAGTTTAATAATAGCAATGAAAAGTATGAATGCCGCAGACATCACCACGCAACATGACAATTTGTTCAAGGTTTGGTTTTGTGTGTTTCCAAAATCGATTTTCACGTTGCGATCATCAGTGGAAATACGCAACTAAAGAGATCAATGACGAGGCGGCGGATGAAGACGAGGCGGATGACGGAGAGACGGCTGGTGGTGATGGTGATAAAACGGACAAGGAGGAGTCAGGTGGCAGGGAAGGTGATGGAGCTGATGAGGGTGAAATTCGTAAGAAGTCAGCTGTGTATTTGCATTTGTTATCTCGTCCCGATTGTTTGAGTGTGTATGATGATTCCCACTTCTCTGTACTGTGTCGTGCCCGTTATGTCCAGCAGTTGAAGGTCCTTGAAGCTGTTTGTATTCGTACGCATAAGCCCGATTTGTGTAAGCAAAAAGAACATGTTTTAGCACTTAGGTTATTTTCGTGAGTTTGCACCCCGTGTTCATGAGTTGTTTCTGCACTGTTCATGCCCGTTTGTCACACTTACTCTTTATTTTAGTTCTCACTTTTTGTAATACTTACCACAAGTTACCCGTCATGTGTCACACTTCTTTGGATTTTTAACCTTTGTTTTCCCTTGATCTCTTTAGTTGCGTATTTCCACTGATGATCGCAACGTGAAAATCGATTTTGGAAACACACAAAACCAAACCTTGAACAAATTGTCATGTTGCGTGGTGATGTCTGCGGCATTCATACTTTTCATTGCTATTATTAAACTTTTATCTCCACGTAGATTATTTGTATATTTTAAGCGGAGATACTCTAGAGAACAGATAGATACTCTGAATAACGCCCTGCGGAAACGCCATGTTTGTCGTTGCATTTCATTGAATATTTCTTTTCTTAAACAGTGTCGGGAAAGTGGCGTTTGTCCAAGTGCCATACAGAAGCGCGTACACAGAGCCAAGGCGTATCACTCATTAACAATAGAGAGAGTATTCTTGAAGGATGATATCGCCCGGTCCTCCGATACACTTTGTACTATACAGTGTGAGTTCAAACGTTTGTACTGTGTAGCTCGCTCATTCCTTTCTGCCCATGACTATC